CAGGAGAGGTTGCAGGAGTTTGATTTTACCTGTGAATACCGACCCGGAAGCCGACACACAAACGCTGATTCTCTATCTCGTATACCTTATTCTCCTGATACCATTAGTGCCGTCCTTAGCACAGCCCCCGAGATCGACTGGCCGTCTCTTCAAGCAGAAGACCCAGATCTGCGATTTATTTATCAGAGGCAACTACATGGCAATAATAAACCATCTATGGCAGAGTTAAAGGATCATTCCTTGGCAACGCGCCGTCTTTGTGCCAAGTGGGGCGGTCTAAGATTGTATGAAGACACGCTATTTATAGTCAGTGAATCAAAACAACCACTACTGATAGTACCACGTATACAAGTTCAGAATATTATGGAGCAGGTACACCGAGAACTGGGGCACTCAGGAACACGGAAGACTGAACATGCTATCTGCGGAAGGTTTTGGTGGCCATCCATCCACGAAGACGTTGCAGAATTCTGCAAAAATTGTAGCACGTGCTATGCTATCAAGTCACCCCGACAAATACCCCGCGCACCCTTAGTTCCAATGACGACAGAAGGTCCGCATCAGCGAGTTGGCATCGATATTATGGGGCCACTCACAACGTCGAAGAACGGAAACCGTTATTTACTGGTTATGGTAGACTATTTCAGCAAATGGTGTGAAGCTGTGCCTATACCACAACAAGATGCCCTCACAGTTACTCGGGCTTTCATTGATCATTGGGTATCCCGGTACGGCGCTCCCCTCTCACTCCATTCTGACCAAGGTTCAGCTTTTGAAAGTCATCTCGTCGCCCAGGTATGTCGATTATTGGGAATCCGGAAAACACACACTACCGCATATCATCCAGAAGGTAACGGCTTAGTAGAAAGAACCAACAGGACTATCAAAGCTCTCCTTCAATCGTTTATCAATAAGTCGTCGACGGAAGGTTGGGATGACGTGATACCACAATGTCTGTTAGCTTACCGCTCATCAGTGCACGGATCTACAGGATTTTCACCGGCGACCCTACTTTTTGGGCATGAATTGCGCCTACCCGTTGAGCTGCAAATACCGCTGTTACCATGCGAGATCCAAGATCATGTAGTATACATCCGTAATCTTCGCAGCCGCCTAGCCGACGCCTATCGCTTAGTGAAGATCAACCTACAAAATGCCAGCAAGCACCAAAAGGACGTGTACGATCGCAAGACGAACGGACCTGTGTATAAACCCGGAGATCGCGTGTGGCTGCACCGCCCTTTGGCTCCACCGGGGACATGCAGCAAGTTCCATCACCCTTGGCAAGGACCTTACGAAGTTGTGTTTATGCGGTCCCCCACTACATTCGTCTTACGTAACCTCCAACGACCCCAAGACGATGTTATAACAGTACACTACAATCAATTAAAGCCAGACAAGACAACGGTGCACTTAGATACCCCGTTTGTCAACCCCCCGACTGCCGTCAGCCATTATGAAGTGCCACCAGAAGGAGGGGTAGCATACCCATGTCCAGCACCAGGCACTGAGGACAGTGCCTCATGAAGAGAGGGGATAGTGTAACAGTATCGAAAGTCATTACGTGTAACTTTATTAATGCAGGTTTGTTTTCCTTATTGCAGGACAACAGAAAGTGAACGTATTAGAAGAAGAAGAACAAAGCTTGCGCAAACTAAACCTGCTGGATGATGAGTAAAACTATTTTGTAACAGACTTCTCTTTTTGTACAAAAACCGCGTATTTCAATTTCTAATATATCTCTGTTGTGCTCGCACGCCGTGTTCTCACTTGAGTGGCATCTGCCAGTCCTGACTGTTGTGTTGTGTTTCAGATTGCTCCTGCCTCCAGGTAAACGATAAGAAAACGTGCTACAGAACACTATCTACGCCGTTGTTCTTCTGTTTTATTGGCCACCGTTTTGATTGAAGACTATAATAGTATTATAACATCATTATAGGCCTTCCGACTCAACGTTGGACTTTTGGCGCGGTTTACTATTGTATAATACTATTGGACTCCGTCTTCCTCATTACGTCTTTGGTGCAGTCACTTGCAGGGGAACACCTGTCAACCAAGTGAACTCAGTTTGTGGTCGTTGTCCTCACGAGGCAGTTAACAAGTAACATTCATTCTATAGTAACTGTTAGCGTCTGTTTGTTTAATATACCTTTTGTATTGCTAACGGTATTTTATTACCTTTGTTTTTACTAACGGACAGACATCTAGGTTTCTTAACCATTAATTTGTTTTGGTATATCATTGTTAACCTAGTGTATCAATATATCTTGTGTAAGCTCCTTTTGTTTGGGGACCACCACAAATTTGGTGAGCCCGTAAAATTTTTTTTTCTCTCTCTCAACTACTTTTGAGTTCACTTACAGACATTACGGCGTTATTTTACCCTTGGTAGTATTTAAATTTTCGTATATTTGTAATGTACTCATCCGAAACTGAAGGCATTAGCCAGGATAACATTTCAGCAGAGCTACACGCTCTAAATTTGATAAATGTGCCCCCATTCAGCCGATTAAATCCTCGCATTTGGTTTGCGCAAGTAGAAGTACAATTTCAGCGTCGCAACATACGCTCACAGGCATCTAAATACTCTTTTGTGCTTGGATTACTACCCACTGAAGTTGCATCTGAGGTGTCAGATTTGATAGATAATATTCCTGCACCTAATCCATATGATCAATTGAAGCAGGCAATTATTCAACGTACCTCATTATCTGATGAAAAGAGATTACAGCAATTACTGCACCATTGTGAGCTAGGCGACAAATCACCGTCTCAATTATTACGACACATGAGACAATTAGCTGGCCCATATAAATTTGATGACGCCTTCCTCAAGGAGATTTGGCTACAACGTTTGCCAACAGTAGTTAGGCAAATTCTTTGTGCCTCTAGCCAAACATCAGATTTAGAGAGTCTTGCTAACATGGCCGATAAAATTTTAGAAGTTACACCCGGTACAACACCTTACGTACAGGCAATATTAGAAACTTCGAACGATAAGCAAACTCCCACCATGGCATCGTTAACTGCTGAGCTAGGCGAACTGCGAGCACATCATGAACGAACTGTCGCTAGTCTTGAAAATAAACTGGATGCACTACAATTATTAATCTCCAATTTCACATCTACAAGACCTCGTTCTTGTTCTCGAGGGAGTAAGAATCGAGATAACTCAAAAGGAAACAAAAACGACGACAACATATGTTGGTACCATAAAAAATATGGTGACAAAGCTAGGAAATGTGTTACGTCTTGTAAATTTTTCAAGTCATTTTCCTCACCAAAACGTGTCAACCAAACCATGGTAGCGACAAATGTTTCTGGTCGTGCGCCTACTCGTCTTTTCCACGTTCTTGATAAAACTTCAGGCTACAAATTCTTAGTAGATACTGGAGCTGAAGTTAGTGTCATCCCAGTTACCTTAGCCAATAAACCTATTGCTAAGAGTGGAAAATATACCCTAAGGGCAGCTAATAAAACCGAAATAAAGACATTTGGTGAACAATTTCTAACATTAGACTTGGGAATTAGACGTAATTTAACCTGGGTGTTTATTATTGCGGATGTCCGTCACCCTATACTAGGTGCAGATTTTCTAAGTTTCTACAACCTACTAGTTGACGTTAAGAGAAGAAAACTTATTGATTCCTGCACGAACCTTCAAATCCAGGGAATTCAGTCGGACTACCACATACATAGTATTAAAATTGACACCCCAGGAAACGACATATTCGCCACCATTCTATCTAAATTTCCCAAAATAACGAAACCAGACTACAGTGAAAACACTGTCCAACATTCTGTAGTACACCGGATCATCACAAAAGGTCAACCAACTTCGGCACGTCCACGCCGATTACCACCAGACAAACTGAATGTTGCAAAAGCTGAGTTTGATCATATGATGCAGCTAGGTATAATACGTCCGTCAAGTAGCCCCTGGGCATCCCCACTCCACATGGTGCCCAAGCGAGACCAAGATTGGCGACCCTGTGGTGATTATAGATCATTGAACAACCTGACATTACCGGATCGCTACCCAATCCCTCATTTACATGATTTTTCTCTCACTTTACATGGCAAGCAAATTTTTTCTAAAATCGATCTTGTGCGAGCGTACCACCAGATACCAGTAGCATCCGAGGACATTGCAAAAACAGCCATCATTACTCCATTTGGTTTGTTTGAATTTCTAAGAATGCCTTTTGGATTAAAGAACGCCGCACAAACATTTCAACGATTTATGGATGAGGTCACTAAAGGCCTAGATTTTGTTTTCGTGTATATTGATGATGTCTTAATAGCTAGCAGTTCGATCCATGAACACGCTGATCACCTACATCAATTATTCGAAAGATTTCAGAAATATGGCATAGTGATTAACCCATCCAAATGTATTTTCGGAGTTGAGAGTTTAGAGTTTTTAGGTCACTTGATCGACAAACGTGGAATTAAACCTTTGGATACAAAAATAGAAGCCATCAAGAATTTTCCAGAACCAGACTCATGGAATAAACTTCGACGTTTTTTGGGGATGATAAATTTTTATCGTCGCTTTATTCCACATTGCTCAGCCATCCTACAACCTTTGACGGAGGTGTTAAAAGGTAAAGTCAAAAAGTTCACATTACCCTCCCAAGCGAAAGATGCCTTTTCTGCAGCTAAAACAGCAATCGCTTCTACTACCATGCTGACCTACTTAAGCCCTGATCCGGAAGCAACACTAATTCTGTGTACAGATGCATCACAGGCAGCAGTAGGTGCAGTACTACAACAGCGAGTTAATAATGAGGTCAAACCACTTGCCTTCTTTTCAAAGAAGCTAGAACCAACCCAAACTCGATATAGCACTTTCGGTAGAGAACTATTGGCTATTTATCTAGCTGTTAAACATTTTAACCATTTACTGCAAGGCAGAGACTTTGTGATACTCACTGATCACAAACCTTTAACCTATGCCTTTAACGCGAAAAGTGACCGTTATTCCCCTAGAGAAATGCGACAATTGGATTATATTTCCCAATTTTCGACCAACATACAGTTTATAAAAGGTGAGTCAAATGTTGTTGCGGATACTTTGTCACGTTTCAACGTCGATGCAATTTCCTTCACCAAAGGAATCGATTTATTAGATATGGCACGTTTGCAGACAGATGATCCTGACCTTGATGCTTGTAAACAAAGTTCGAGCTTGTCCTTAAAAAGTGTTCCTATACCGCATTCTGACTCTACTATCATTTGTGATACTTCTACTGGAACGCACAGACCTTTTGTGCCAATAGTGTACAGAAAAGAGTTTTTGATTGTCTTCACTCACTATCCCATCCAGGGATTCGTGCTACTGTGAAACTGATTGCCGAAAGATTTGTCTGGCCAAAGATGAATGCAAATATAAAACTATGGACCAGGACTTGTGTACAATGTCAACGTAGTAAAATACATAGACATACGATTACAACACCGTCAGCATTTAGTCTACCCGACCATCGTTTTCAACATGTTCATGTTGATTTAGTTGGTCCTCTGCCTCCATCTAATGGATTCACTTACATTTTTACTGCAGTGGACCGTTTCACTAGATGGCCAATTGCATGCCCAATAAAAGATATCTCCGCGGAAAATGTTGCTGCTGTATTCCTCGACAGATGGATCGCTAATTTCGGTGTACCTTCTACAGTTACTTCTGACAGAGGTTCACAGTTCCAATCTCACCTCTTCAATGAATTTACCCGCATTTTAGGAATCCATCACATCACTACAACAGCATACCATCCAGCAGCGAATGGACTAGTGGAACGATTCCACAGACAACTAAAAAGCTCATTGATGGTACAGCCTGATGTTTCTAGATGGAGTGAATCTCTACCTCTTATTTTACTAAGCATACGTTCCACAATTAAAGAAGACCTACAATGTACTCCGGCACAGCTCGTCTATGGAGCTAATTTAACCTTACCGGGGCAGCTAGTGACGCATAATGGCAAACCCGTATGTACGGATCCCACTTCTTTTTGCGAAAGACTAATGAGCCATATGAATAACATTAAGCCTGTTGCACCTCGGCCAGTTGTCTTAAAAGAGCAAGTTAGCAAGCATCTAAATACGTGTAAATTTGTGTTTGTTCGTGTTGACTCCGTAAGACGCCCTCTACAACATCCTTATGAAGGACCATTTGAAGTAGTTGAGAGGCAAACAAAATATTTCACAATCAATAAGAACGGAAAAAAAGAAACAGTTTCGATCGACAGGATAAAACCTGCTTTTATAGAATCTGAAACACATGACAGCCGAAAGCCGTCTAAAGACAGCGGCGATCACACAACGCAGCTTCCAGTGTTTCCAAATAATTCTTCACCAACTCCGACGAAATCAATATTCGGCAAAACAGACAGTTCTAAGGTTACAGTTCCCACAAATTTAAATCCTAGTTCCGACACTTTAACTTCTACGAAAACAACTCGTTCAGGAAGACATGTACATTTTCCTAAACGTTATGTTGAATTCATTACTTAATCTTTATTCTGTCATTACCTGTAATATGATTAAATATCTATGTTAGCAGAGTTACTAATACCATTTTTTTTGCAAGCATTTTTTTTTCTAAAAAAAATTCTTGTGTACTACTAATATTGATAAATTCATTGTGTTTCTCTCTACATGTGTATGCGTTTTATATGATGTTTATTATTAATTGTGCAGACATATACAATTTCGTTGGACTCGTTCAGTTTATCACTAATTGTTTACACAATTTATACATGTATTTACACTTTTCGGTGAACTCTCAATTTAATTACCGTTATTACTAATGATACTATTATTATTATTATTATTATTATTATTATTATTATACACTCCGTATTGTTGTTAAAATTTTTATATACATTAAAGTCTCTTTACTACAAGACAAACATTTTGTTCTTAAATATGTATACACGTATGATTTTTTTTTTAAATAACATTTGTTTACCCTTTTCGTTCTGTAATTTTCTCCTCCCTCCAAAGCATTTAGAGTTTTACGTCGGGCATACTTTCACTGACGCATGCCCTAGGGGGGGAGTTATATGGTGACATATATTCAGTGATTTTTGTAACAACAAAAATAGAAACCACATTTTTTCTCTAATTTGTCACACTTTATTTGTAACCACATTTTTATTCAATATCTGTTGTTTTGCTGTATCACTTGTTAAAAAGACGATAATTTTTGTTTCGATGAATGATATACACTTCTACTACCGGGTTGTTTAAAATATAGAACACTATCTACGCCGTTGTTCTTCTGTTTTATTGGCCACCGTTTTGATTGAAGACTATAATAGTATTATAACATCATTATAGGCCTTCCGACTCAACGTTGGACTTTTGGCGCGGTTTACTATTGTATAATACTATTGGACTCCGTCTTCCTCATTACGTCTTTGGTGCAGTCACTTGCAGGGGAACACCTGTCAACCAAGTGAACTCAGTTTGTGGTCGTTGTCCTCACGAGGCAGTTAACAAGTAACATTCATTCTATAGTAACTGTTAGCGTCTGTTTGTTTAATATACCTTTTGTATTGCTAACGGTATTTTATTACCTTTGTTTTTACTAACGGAAAGACATCTAGGTTTCTTAACCATTAATTTGTTTTGGTATATCATTGTTAACCTAGTGTATCAATATATCTTGTGTAAGCTCCTTTTGTTTGGGGACCACCACACTTCATATCAGACTGCAGTTTTACACTTTGTATATCTGTCAGCATGATTAGCAATTTATGAGTTCAGTTTACCGGTATTATGTAATCACGCATTGATTCTTGAAAATCCTAACATGAATACTGTGGAGTGATTCTGTGATTGTGTGAATAAAGTAGGTGTATTTATCAAGAGCCACATGTAGATATGGGAGAAATCATCCACGGCACTTATTTCTAATAAGATCTGTTTGTAACGTTGAAGAAGCAAGATATTATGTGATTAGATTTATTGCCTTGGCTGATATGTGGATGTGGCCATGTGGGTTACGCAGTGGCATAATCCCCAAAATCTCATCCTACATTGACAATGTGAGCCATCTAGATCTACCAGGTGCCTATCTAGATAGTGCATCACAGTTACACACAATTTTCATACTCATAACATCGTTACTTATTTAACATGCTATACTAAACATTTGATGATGAAACATGGGATTATTATAATAATAAATATTTCAGAAGACTTTATGATAAATTCACGTTTCTGACAGATTCGTAAGATGAATTCCAGTTTTGGTTTCGGTTTGACGTTGCACGGTTAGATGAACTGTTTCCAGTTGTTTGTCGAGACAGTGTATTGTTTAATTGTAGTGTAGGAGGACCCTGGATTGTTCTGTTAACATTGAATCATGGAAGTGCGTAGACGTCAATTCATTGACAAAATTTTCATCAATTCACCATACTACTCACATTTAGTTAGTACTGAGAATGTGTTGGTGAGATGTTGAGTTGTTTGCCCAATATTTGATTTTGTTTCCGTTTCACTTTCAGTTTGGGAAGTATAGGAGGCTCGATGGGCTATTTTATTCCGGGCAATGGTGGTATCTCAGTAGATCCAACTTTCTTTTGAAAGAGTCGACGGATAGAGCCTCAACCACGTGCTGATATAGTGAATTCCACTCGTTGATGATTCGATGGGAAAGTCGATATTCAGCTGACAAGTAATTTGTTCTCGGCTTATGAACTTTTGTGGAATGTCCTCGTAAATTCTCTGATTTGGAAGACAAGAAAAATGAAGGCATATCAGGTGCAAATTTGGCACTAAGCAATTTTAAAACTGTAATCAAGTTGACTCTAGTTCTTCGATATGACAACGGGAAAAGGTTCAGCATGGCCAGTCGAGATTCATACGGAAGCTTCGCTATTCCGGGAATCAGCTTAGTCGCCGTTCTCTGAACCTTTTCCGGAAACTCACTGTCTTTTTTAAGCAGGGGCTGGACGCTTGTATGCAGTGCTCAAGTTTAGGACGAACGAACACTGTATACAAAGTCAAAAACGTCTTAGCGTCGACATGACTAATAGCCCTACGTATTGGCCATAAGGTTCTAAAACCTTTGGCGGCTATTGCACGAGAGTGTGCAGTAGTCTTTAAGTCTTGGCTAACGATGACTCCTTAGTCATTATATGTCTGGACGACAGGTAGCTCAGTGTTATTCATCGTGTATGTATCTGTACCTTGATGACCGATATGCATCACAACACACTTAGAAGTATTTATCGGCAACTGCCATGTTTGAGACCATTCAGATAATTTCTTCAGGTCATTTCGGAGTTCTAAGCTATCATCCTTACATCGTATCGTTCTCCATATCTTGACATCGTCAGCATATAGCAAGACCGATGATGATAGGAGACGAGGACAGTCATTTACATACAAGAGGAATAGCGCTGGCCCCAAAACTGTACCCTGAGGCACTCCACTAAGCACAGTTTCCCAGATAGATAACTTTGAGTTCACCTTTACTCTTTGTTGACGCGTAACTAAGAAGTCGTTTGTCCACATAAATAGATCGCCTCCAATCCCGACTTTTCTTAACTTATATAACAGCGGGTTGTGCGGAACTTTGTCAAAAGCTTTAATGAAATCAATGAAGGCTACGTCTACAGGTAGCTTTTGGTCCTTAAGAACGCACCAGATTTCACGAGCCACTAATAAGTTAGTGAGACAAGAATGACCTATTCTGAAGCCGTGCTGCTTCTCCGAGAGGATCCGGTTTTTATCGAGATACTTAAACAGCTCCTTCCGAATAATCTTTTCTAAGATTTTAACAACCACACTAGCTAGGCTAACGGTGCGGTACTTCTTAGGTTTGTGTTTCATACCTGTTTTGAAGACAGGACTTACTATGGCGTTTTTCCAGTCTTTTGGTAAACGACCCTGCGTAACAGATAGGTTAAAGCATGTACTTAAAGGGCTTGCAACGAAGTTAGATAATTCCTTCAGTAGCCTAGGATGTAATTCATCGGGCCCCGTGGATTTACCTATGTCAAGCTTATTTAGCAGACTCAACAGAATGACAGACCAGATTCATCTTGTGTGTTGCGATGTTGTAAAATGGATTTCAGAATGTTCCCGTATCTCAAATTGACTAATCTGCATTCTGAACATTGAAGATATTTGCACTTGATGAACACTGTGCTAACATTTTAATGAATAACAATGAATGTTTCACAATAGTAGTATTCATCTTATGGAACACAACAGTAAGAAAATTATTCGTTTATGTCATAAATATTCCCCATCAGTGATTACAACAACAACAACAACAACAACAACAACAACAACAACTACTACTACTACTACTACTACTACTACTACTACTACTACTACTACTACTACTACTACTACTACTACTACTACTACTACTACTACTACTACTACTACTACTACTACTACTACTACTACTACTACTACTACTACTACTACTACTACTACTACTACTACTACTACTACTACTACTACTACTACTACTACTACTACTACTACTACTACTACTACTACTACTACTACTACTACTACTACTACTACTACTACTACTACTACTACTACTACTACTACTACTACTACTACTACTACTACTACTACTACTACTACTACTACTACTACTACTACTACTACTACTACTACTACTACTACTACTACTACTACTACTACTACTACTACTACTACTACTACTACTACTACTACTACTACTACTACTACTACTACTACTACTACTACTACTACTACTACTACTACTACTACTACTACTACTACTACTACTACTACTACTACTACTACTACTACTACTACTACTACTACTACTACTACTACTACTACTACTACTACTACTACTACTACTACTACTACTACTACTACTACTACTACTACTACTACTACTACTACTACTACTACTACTACTACTACTACTACTACTACTACTACTACTACTACTACTACTACTACTACTACTACTACTACTACTACTACTACTACTACTACTACTACTACTACTACTACTACTACTACTACTACTACTACTACTACTACTATACTACTACTACTACTACTACTACTACTACTACTACTACTACTACTACTACTACTACTACTACTACTACTACTACTACTACTACTACTACTACTACTACTACTACTACTACTACTACTACTACTACTACTACTACTACTACTACTACTACTACTACTACTACTACTACTACTACTACTACTACTACTACTACTACTACTACTACTACTACTACTACTACTACTACTACTACTACTACTACTACTACTACTACTACTACTACTACTACTACTACTACTACTACTACTACTACTACTACTACTACTACTACTACTACTACTACTACTACTACTACTACTACTACTACTACTACTACTACTACTACTACTACTACTACTACTACTACTACTACTACTACTACTACTACTACTACTACTACTACTACTACTACTACTACTACTACTACTACTACTACTACTACTACTACTACTACTACTACTACTACTACTACTACTACTACTACTACTACTACTACTACTACTACTACTACTACTACTACTACTACTACTACTACTACTACTACTACTACTACTACTACTACTACTACTACTACTACTACTACTACTACTACTACTACTACTACTACTACTACTACTACTACTACTACTACTACTACTACTACTACTACTACTACTACTACTACTACTACTACTACTACTACTACTACTACTACTACTACTACTACTACTACTACTACTACTACTACTACTACTACTACTACTACTACTACTACTACTACTACTACTACTACTACTACTACTACTACTACTACTACTACTACTACTACTACTACTACTACTACTACTACTACTACTACTACTACTACTACTACTACTACTACTACTACTACTACTACTACTACTACTACTACTACTACTACTACTACTACTACTACTACTACTACTACTACTACTACTACTACTACTACTACTACTACTACTACTACTACTACTACTACTACTACTACTACTACTACTACTACTACTACTACTACTACTACTACTACTACTACTACTACTACTACTACTACTACTACTACTACTACTACTACTACTACTACTACTACTACTACTACTACTACTACTACTACTACTACTACTACTACTACTACTACTACTACTACTACTACTACTACTACTACTACTACTACTACTACTACTACTACTACTACTACTACTAC